TTTTTTGTAAGTAGTTTATGAATTATGTCCCTTGTGTGAATTTTCATTAATTCTAAAAAGAGTATCAGAAAAGCATTCAGATTGTTTTCAACTGATGCGTATCGATTAATCTCGAAATGGACAGGGCCTCTTGAATAATACATTGATATGATGTTTCCCAAGCCTACTTGCCTATCAGTAGGAAATTAGATTTTTTTGTGTGTGCTGTACGTAACATGGAAAGCAATACGATAATTTTGTATTACATTAAATTCGCCTATTCTATTTGTTTTCTGTGTTTATTTTTGTTACAGTCATCTCCTACCGTTTCCAATGCTTTCTTCAGTATTCGAGCCGATTTTAGTCATAATCTCGCCTAGATGCTTTCATCTCTCATTTCATTATCATTCTGCGTGTTTATTTTTTCATAACGAATATTAACTAATTCAAATTGCGATCGTGCTGGCTACATTCACTTAATACCACGCACAAATACCATTTGGCAAGGTATGAATCCATCTCATCTCATCCAGCCCAAGATATGGGTTAAATAGCATGGCTGACTGGAATTTTTAGCCGTGGTTAGCAACAAGTCTAGTAGAAGCACATAATTTAAATGATTATGGCGCGGGGTTGTGGACTGAGGTCGAATAAAAAAAAATAGCTATTTGTTTTATCTAGCTATGGAATGAGAAAAAATCTCATCAGTATCCCCGACATGTTATTTAGTATTCTAGCTGTGTTGAGGATTTGGATTGCTTATACGCCTTATCTCAATATCATTGTCGACTTCGACATTACTGTAACCTGAATCGTCTTAATTTTTCTCTCATAGCTTATTCTTTATACTTATCGTATTTTCGCACAAATATTGGGTGGGAGAAAAATTTCATCGCGCTTTTTAAGTGAATTTAAAAGACAATAGCTTTATTCAATCACATGTGCAATTTTGTTCAACTAAAGTTACTCTTCCGATTCGGTAAAAATAGCAGGACAAAATGGGTCCTATAGCCTTGGTGGCAACCAGTCTAGGAGAAGCAAACTCTGAATTCAAATCGGATCGCACTATCCTCAAAGTGTGTAGACATACGGCTGGAGACGGCTTGTGAATCCAAATTCCCACTGAAACTCTGACTATGAATTTGCACGTCTGAATGAATACGACCTCTGCTAGGCTTGGTCAGTTTTCGTTTGGAAGCGGTGGGTTCGTTTGACGACGACGGCTCAACCGACCGGTTGAATGCCGCAACAGGTACAGTTACACAGACCGATTGCTGCCTTTAATCAGTTCAACTGGGAACGGTACTTTCCTGATTCCAGTTTCTGATTTTACAGAATAGGGCACAATACCCTTCCAATACTACTAAATACACATTACATTCTTCGGGTGCAGGTTTTGTTTGTCCAGGACAATTCTCGCTCCACATTGTTGTAAGCAATCCAGTTTTCTTTGCTCATGATCGTTCTTTTCAAAAATGTGTCCTATTTTATACTTTTGAACAGAGAAACCCAGATGGAATTGCGGCCCATTATTATTATTATTATTATTAATAATAATAATAATAATAATAATAAATCGAGAGGAACCAAATCATAACAATTTAAGTATCCATGTATTTTCAAATGTCTTGCAATATGAAATATGTAGATCAAAATTTCCACTTCTGAACCTATTGAACCACTTGTGGACAGTACTCTCAGCTATGACACCATTTCCATAAATGGCACATAACGAAAAGTCATGTCATTGCATTTTAGTTTCACTTTTACGTAAAACATTTAAAATCCAGAATCTACACACGAATTGTATATAGGAAGACATGTATAATTATCACCTTTCAGAATATGTAGATATGTCATAAATTTCAGTCACGTGTGAAGCAAAATACCGATTTCAAATGCTATCTATTGAAAAACGCTACAAACTTTTGTCCCAACCCAATACTATTTATTGGGTTTCATTGAAAATCATGTAGCAACACATTTGAATATTCGAGTATTCTATTCAAAATTCTTTCACTATGATTTTCCCAATACAAGGTCCAAGAGCTACTCAAAGTAGAGCGTAACTAAATGACATTGTTGTAGGGGCAAACAAGCAGGAAACAAGAAGTGCATGCTATGAGCATATTAGGATAGATAACAGTTCACCTTAGGCTTGAAAAGGTTAAGTTTGTAACGATTGAGGAAGCATACAGACCCGATGAATTCTAAATGATTTAGTTATGTTGTCGTCTGAATGCTTTCAATTTATTCCTTGGGTTTACTTTTTCTCCCAATTTCCTTCCAGAACTCTTTAAGAAAGTTCCCATTGCTATCTTCATATTCCACATTTTCTCCATTTCTTTGACAATGTCTTTACACTTTCCTTTCATTTTAGGAGGAGTCCATTAGAACTGCAATATCTGATGACAAATATTCTCCAGTTGCACTACGATAGTTACAGTCCATCTGAAATTATGCAAATCATATTAACCTCAATAACTTGATTTTTTGTCAAATTTTAAGCAATTAATTTAGACGTAAAAATAAAGCTTGAGTTAAATTTTCAGGTTGTTTCATCTTTTTTAAAGTTATTTGATTTATTTTAAAAATAAAACTGCAGTCAGAAATTATTATGTATAACCAGAAAATCACTTTTTACTTCAATAACAAGGTAATAAAATCAACAACTGATCAACACCTATAACAGAACAAATAAAAGTGTATGATATATTTGGAGCATTTACATCTTAATCTAGTGACCCTTCTTCTCAATAACAGATAATATTCTATTATCCATTAATTTTGTTATTTTTTCACTTCAACCGATTCAATTTCCAACATGCTGGTTTTAATTGCTTCCTATAAGTTTATCATATTGTTTAGAAGCTTCATTTACTTTCATCTTCAAAATTGACCATTCATTTTCGACTAGATTCAGATCAAGACTTGGTGGAAATTTAATTATCTTCTCTCCTATAAACCTTTTACGCTCAAGAAATTCACGGGTAACCTTAGATACATGAGAAGGAGCATTATCATGAATAAATACACAATTCACTTTGAAATTGTGAGGTTGTGACTTGTACCATTCAAAGTAAGTCTTGTTCATGAAATGACAGTAGTTATCACTGTTCTTTTTAATTCCTTCATCGACTTTGAATGATTCAATAATGGTTTGGTCGACAATTGAAATCTATATCATCACACCTTGCTGCTTTCTTTTAGCTACAGGCACATATGCATCGGATAAAATACATCCGTTGGCCCATCCATCAAATGCATCGAGTGTCACCCGAAGTTTTTCCACAAAACTTACTTTAGAAAAAACCAATTTTCATGTAATTTTAAGCCCAACTTTAATGCTTTCAAATATTTGCTTCACTGTGAGGTGTTTGCTTAGGAGATTTCTTGACAGATCCCAATTTGCGAAGTATTATACACCTTTTTTTTCCTTATGGACTCTCTCAATTCCAGCCTAGTCAAAAGCGGTTGTTTCGCTATAACACGCTTTAGTTTACGTTTCCCTCGAGGAGACAAGGTTTTTTTCCTTTGCTTCTAGTTCTCAACTTAGTTATATTTTCAACAGCCCTCTTTATCGTTCGATGATCTCTGCGAAGCTCCTTTGATAATTCCGATGTGGACATTCCCTCATTAAATAACTTTGTTATTTTCTGTTTTTCAGCATTTCTTAGATTCTTTTCATTACCCATGTTTCAACATATATTATGGAAAAACAGAAAAAAATAGTGTTTATTAGATTTCTGAGGCCTTAAACTAATATTAGTTTGATCTGCATAACTTCAGACTTCAGTTTTATAATAAATCCAATAACTTTAATAAAACATGTTGAAACTACCTAAAAATTTAACTCAAGTTTTGTTTTGACGTCTAAATTAATCGTTTAAAATTTGACAAAAATTGCACCAAGCAAATTCGAATTATTGAGGTTTATGTGATTTGAATAATAATTTCAGACGAATTGCAGCTCATCCTAATTATTTGTTGATTATCGCTGGAGATGGAGTAACAACAACTTTTCTTAAATCTACAGCACCTTCCTTGCATTATCATTGTCTGGAAAAGCTCAATTATTCTCCGAATTCTTAATTCACCTAATCTCGATTCCATCGTTTTGGTCAGAAACAACATTAAAAGACTATGTTTAATTAGTATTTAATTCCCGGTAACGAAGGTGTGAATACAACTCCCTTTCATCAATAAGTATCTTGACAAAGGGCTCGACACTGGCATGTCACAATGCTATACAGAACGGCTGGTAGAAGAGATCTCATTTCGAAAGGAGATTCGTCTGTCACAGGTACTGTAAATGGTTTTTGAAGAATCTTGAAAACAGGCAACAAGTCATTCGATCTGTAATGTCTGAATTTGAAATCAGAAAAATATGAAAAAAATATGTTTAATTTGAATTTATTTAGTTCATTACATCATTATGATAATGACAAAATAATCCTCGTCTTCTTTGAACTTCCTTCCAACGTTTCACAATCTTCATAATATAGTCTGAATTTCTAGGATGAGAAATTATCTTTGTTTACATTATTAACATTCGGGCTAATGTTCCCAACGATGTTTCTATTATCACAACGCTTCTGGTGTTGCGCACTCCGGCCTTCATCAGGTGTTTGTCGATCCGGGTAACATTCAGGGAATTTCAAACTGAACGCTTTATTTAATCTACGAGAGTAGTTTTTTTTTTTTTTTTTTTTTTTGGGGGGGGGGTGTTTTTGTTTTTTGCAATGATGTTCACCCAAGAGCCACTCGGTTGATTGATTCGTTTTCTACAGCTATTTAAAGCCAGAAATTTCGTTTAAATTGGAAGAATTTCTTTTGGGGATAATAATCATTTACTGATACAAGTCTTACTAATTAATCCATAGCTGGTGGGGTAGGGGGATATATACTTTCCCCAAGGATATATGCGTGTAAGTGAATATAACAAAGCTAAATGGAATTGGAACTCAGTTCTCCGATTAACAATTCCGAGACATTACACTACCCGCACATCCAAGCTTACAGATTCTCAAGTGGTCACCCATCTAGATACTGACCAAGCACGACGGTGCTTAACTTCAGTAATCATACGGGAACCGGTCTTTCAACGTGATATAAGAGTCACTCGATAGTCTATGAGGATATGTGGGAAAATTGTAGTGATCGAGGAAGCATCCACTTGGGAGTCTGTTCCACTAAGCAGCGTTTCAAAAGATTGTTCTCGTTCAGCTGTCCATACCTAGGATTAAGTGGATTAAACCGTCGGTTGGTGAATTTGGTAACATAATAATTGTGAGTTCAATCAGAGCCGAGTAAATACAGGTTTAAACTCAATAGAAATATCGTGAGCAATAATTGAGAAGCACTAGATAAGTACATGATATGTCTGTCAGACTATTTTTTAAAAATGCTTTTGATTTGGAAGAAATGTTGTTTCCAACTCCTAATGTGTTTTAAGAATTTATCAATCAAGATGGTTTTGTGAAATGTGGATTCGGCGGAAATCAGATGGTTCATGATCTGGAAATTAAGATGTGTTTGTAGATTTTTTTTTTCCAGCAGTGGGCCCCTCCCTGACAAATCGAACATGATTAGATTCGAACCCGGGTCACATGGTCAAAAAGGTAATGCTCTAACAACCCGGTCATGACCCCGCCCATTCACGTATGCATGTGATTCGTTATGAGAAATTCTGTCTCTGTCTGTCTTTCTGTCTGTCTGTCTGTCCGTCTCTCTCTCTCTCTCTCTTCTCTATATATATATATATATATATATATATATATATATATATATATCACTCTATCTATCTATCTATCTATCTATCTCTGTATACATATATATATGTGTGTGTGTGTGTGTGTGTGTGTGTGTGTGCGTGTGTGTGTGTGTAAAACGATGAACAGTACAATATTTAACTTGTAATAGCAACACCGTGATGATGACATTGAGCTAATGCCGAAAGCACTCGGAATAAAATATGTATCATCATGGTAATTTTCTCTCTTCCTTTAATAATGACACCAAAAGGCGTGTTTGTGGATATAAAAGGATCCAATTGAAAATAAGTACATAAAACGTGTCTAAATTATTCAATGAAACATGTCTCAAAATATATATATATATATATATATATATATATATATATATATATATATATATATATATATATATTGTATTTAGGCAACATTTTTTCACTGATGCATCTTTCATTAAATAATATAGATAAATGTTGTCTATTTATTTCATGTAAATTCTTTTCATAACATCTGATAAGTTTAATAACATTATCATTAAACGAAGAAAGAAAATCACAATACTGATACATATTTTTAAATCCTATCTAAGCCTTCGGCTTACATACGCCATTATCAAAGATGACAATTACATTACAATATATTAAGCAATACACGGACAAAACAGTGATGATAGTCTGTTTCTGTTTACATGGAAGATTTCCAAGCAACGACAAACTCGTTCATATAAGACGCTGGAAGCGAAAATCGCACCGCAGCTCATGATGACCACGCGAGAGTGAAAACAAAAAGTATAAGTATGGGAAGCCATTGGTATAAACTAATGTCTTCTGTTACCAATTATAGGCATTTAAGAATATTTGTGGAGATTCATAGTTTATTTTGTTCAGGTTAAGTTTCAACTGTTTTATGTATATAGCTTCAAGAATTTTTAGTTTTTGTTTATTGTTTTCATGTTTAAGTATAGTTGTGTTTTCAACAAGGATTTTCCGGAATTTCTAAGAAAGCATCTTATTTGTTCATCAACTATATAGTTTGGAAAGCTATTATTAATAAGTGTTTGTTTTATATTCTTTAATTCACTGTAAAAAATCTGTTTTGTGGATGAATTACTTTCTACACGATGTATTAGATTTTTTATAAACGCTGTTTTGTAGTAATATGGACATTCGCTTTTGTAGTTAAGTGTACATGAATTTATGCTGGTAGGTTTTTTGTATGGCGAAATAGTAAATTTGTTATTATTTGTGTTTATCAATGTCAAGGAAGGGAATTTTATTATTAGTATTGAGTTCATATGTGAATTTAATGAGAGAATTATTTTGAAAACGTTTTTGAAGTCGAAGTATTTCATTTGTATTTTTAACTAACATAAGGTTATCATCAACGTATCTTAGGATGTTTTTAAAATCTGCAAATATCTTATTTTCGAGCTTCGACATGTGGAAATTGCTAAATGTCGGACCCAGTACTGAACCCATGGAGTTGTTATATATATATATATATATATATATATATATATATATATATATATATATATATATATATATTATGATCTAAGAAAGGGACTTCAGTAGTACAAGCTAATAGTAGTTTCCGTAAAATATTAGGATTAATTTTAAGTGGGGGTAAAGATGAGTTAGTTTATATATTTCTTATAATTATGTCAATAGTTTCACTAACAGGGACATTGGTAAATAAGTTTTCAACATCAAGTGAAGCTATGATTTCATTGTTGGGTTTTTCACTTTTTAGGATTTGGATTACTTCTAATGTTGACTTAACACTATATTTACTAGGAAGGTAGGAAGTAATGAGTTGGTTAATGTATTTTGTTAGCTGATATACAGGAGTAGAAATTTGCGATATGATAGGACGGAGAGGACAGTTAGTTTTATGTGTTTTTATAGTGCCAGGTCTATAATCACCAACAATTTTAGGGAGTTTTTAAAGAGTTCTGTTCAGCATTATTAGCATTAATGAGTTTATTAAGCTTTGATTTTAGTTGGTTGGTCGGGTTCTTGTCGGGTGTATAAAATTCAAAGCAACATTTTATGCAGTGTTTATTTCAATGTCTACTCTATCTGTTATCTAGAAATGTTCTAACCACGATTTAAGTACTCTTCGCCTATAAATATAGCAAATTTAAAATATCATTAAATAATGCGTGTGTGCATGCGTGTAATTGTTTGTGTGTGCGTTTGTATGTGTCTGTGTGTGTTGTAGATACTGAGATTGAAAAATTATCAACTTCAAATGATGCTGGTTCCAATTTCCTCAAATGTATACTTTTTCTCTCTCTCTCTCTCTCTCTCACACACACACACACACACACACGCACACGCACGCACACAATACACACACACAAAATTAACAAAAATCTAAGAAATCTTAATTAACCTTAAGCTAAGAAAAAAATAATGTTTTTCTTCGTATGATTTACTTTTAGTATATATTCTGGATAGCTGTGGTTCAATATTCCAAAATACTTGGAGAAATAAATGAAATTTGTGTTGTTCTGAATCCAACTGCAACAAAGGGAGACAACTCTGTTATAGAAATTCAATACTGATTATTCGTCAAAAAGTTTTACTTCAGTCTTTCGCACGAAATCTTTTTTAAATTTCTCGCCTTCTCTATATTTCTTCCCATCAACTTCGCTATTCAGATATCTTTCTCTCTCTCTCTCTCTCTCTCTCTCTCTCTCTCTCTCTCTCTCTCTCTCACACACTCACACGCGTGAGCGCGCGCAAACACACATAGATAAAATTATTTGAAAACTTTTAGTTTGGATTCCTCTTGGTTGCTCGTTTATGTATGTATGTGTGTGTGATTGTTTTACGTGGTCTTTAGGAGGAGTTCATTTCTGAAATGTATTTTCTCGCTTCTTATTGTTATTTTTTTATGTGCCTCTGTGATTATGATATTCTTCACAGGCTTTGTTTATAATTGTTTGAATGTATTCGCGCATCTTTGTTGGCTTGATGGATGACTACGTGGTCGGCTGGTTGCTTCTGGACTTCTATTTATTTTTCACACATGTCGACACAGTCAACGCGCTTGTCACTCGCTCTTGTTCGTGTAGGCCAATGGTCACGTGTACGGCGATGCTAAAATTTCGTGCACACCACCAGTTCTCGTTTTATTTTATTTTATGTATTTTCTAGTTCGATTTTTTTTTCTAAATTCCAAACCAGACCAATCGACCTCTGACGTGGTGAAACTGAAAATGCTTTAAAAAAATTGGATTAATACAGATGTTGTCAACAAACTCAAACACGTGCATCGCTCTCTCTGTCACAATCTCTCTCTTTCTTTCTTTTTTCTTCCCCTCTCTCTCTCTCTCTCTCTATATATATATATATATATATATATATATATATATATGTGTGTGTGTGTGTAGAGAGAGAGAAAGTGAAAATAAAGGCATAGTAACTGAATATATACACATTCAGTTAATTCCCTCTACTTCTCCTTTCTTTTCCTCCATACGTATCTGCCTATCTATGTATTTTTATAGGCTTTTACACATATATATATATATATATATATATATATATATATATATATATATATATATATATATACGTGTGTTGTGTATTTATGCAGCAATCCTCTTTATACATGTTTCATTAAAGACGACTGACAAGATACTGCGATTAAGCTTTTTATTTCATTTTTCTTGTGTTCGTACAAGTGTTTTCTTTTTCTGGGCACAAAGTGTGTAAAAACTGTCCAAATGTTCTGAATTTCCGAGCGGTTTCGGCTATCATTATCAAGAATGATTTTATTTTTACTTTTTAACTGAATGTATGTGTTGCGTGTATGTATCAAGAGTTATAGGGATATTTTAGTTTTCAAATACGATCACCACATTGTGCCCGTGTTCGTAGTTAATGTTATTGAGTATTGGCTACCATTATTTTAAATCATTTTTAAATGTGGATGTGGTTATTATAATTGTATTCTCTACTAATATGCTTCGGATGGAGTCTGTTAGGTTTAAATGAGTGTTTAAATGAGTTCTAATGGAGCTGTGGTCGGACAGGTGTAACCTAAGGCCTCTGGATAGGTATGTAGTAGTGTGACCGATGTAATTATTTATGTGTTTGGTTTGATCAGGCACACAGTTCCTTAAGGAGCATTTGAAACCTTAATATTGGTTTCGAGTTCATACATATATATATATCTGAAAGTAATCCTTCCATTTTATTATGTCGTTCAAAACGTTAAAGTTGAATATTGGTAGTATGGCAGTAATACGTAATTTTTTATTTGCAAGCAGCTGAGCGGTAGTCTGTCAATATGACGTTTCACATGAAAATGTATACGAAGCAGAGATGTGTTGCTTAACTCTTTTA